TTTTCAATATTCTACAAAAAATCAAAATAACTCTACGATTTGTTTATTGCACTATCAAACGATTTACTGAAGATTCAAGCTTCGAAGATTGTAAGAGGACCGGCTGACCTCGTACAGTTTGGACACCCGCGATCATCAAAGCAGTGAAGGCGCGAATCCAACGAAATGATGTTCGTAAACAAAAACTCTTAGCTCTTCAGATGAGCCTAAGCAGAACCACGGTCATAAGAGTGATCAATGAAGACCTAGGACTACAAGCTTATTGTAAGAAGACTGGAGATTTTTTAAACGAGCGTTTGAAAAAAATTAGGCTGTAGAGATCCCGCGCTTTGTTACGGGGTTACGCGGGAAAAAATACCGCGAATTTTTGTTTTCGGATGAAAAAATTTTTAACATCGAAGAAAGTTATAATAAACAAAATGATAAGATGTATGCCCACAGCAGTGAAGAAGCCAGCACGCGTATTCCGAGGGTTCAAGGAGCACATTATCCTTCGTCACTCATGGTTTGACTTGGAGTCTCACATTCAGGCTTAACTGAGGTGTTTTTCTGTAAAAAAGGTGTAACCAGTGCCGAGGTGTACCAAATACCGTCCTAACAAATATAGTGGAACTTATTTCTTGAACAATGCTCAAAAACAGACATTGGATATTCCAACAGAACTCTGCACCAGCTCATAGGGCATGCAGCACGCAAAACTGGTTGACCGCCCATGCAATTGACTTTATCGGACATGAAGACTGGCCCTCTTCTGGTACACATTTAATCCCACTGGATTATAAAATATGGCTACATTTGGAGGAGAAAGTCTGCGCTAAAGCTCATCAGAAATCGGAATGTCTCCGAGCATCTTTGGCTAAAGCAGTGATCGATTAAGGGCATGTATTCAAAATAGGGGGAGGGCATTTTTAATAATGTAAATAAAATTGTATTGAATAAAACTAAATTTACGGATTCTATCGCGTTTATTTAACTGATTTTACTTATTTTTAATTCCCGACGTTTCGGGTGCTTTACAGCAACCATGGTCACGGGGGGGGGGACTGAGATGTTTGACGTCCCAATGTCATTGTTAGCCCGGCTACCTTCAGTTTTTTAATATTAATTTTTGGTCCGATTTACGCAAAACGAACTTACAGTATCTTGAAGTCTTGCAGTGGTATGCTTGGGTTTGGGTTTAATTTTGTTAATTATAGGATCCCAAGCAGATAGCAGCACTCAACCATCTTCTTTATTGAAATTGAGGATGTTTTTTTAATTTCAATATACCAGTTTTTAATCAATTATGCGGTTCTAAATCATAATTTGAACATAGGCCTCCTGTTCAGCAGTGGACTTGTGAAGGGCTGTAACGATGAAATCATAATTTATATTGCTGTTCCGCAATGTAACAAATATTTTAATAACAATAACCTCCCTATTCTATTCTTTATTGTACTCACTATAAGTTGGTAACAAATTTTAAATATGGTACAGTCAGTTATCATATTTCTAATTAACACAAAACGTTGGCATTATTGGATCAATGTCAATTTGCCTATGAAAGTTCAAGGCAGTTCGAGGTCGATTACCTATCGCTTACAACTTTAGATCAAGATAATATTATAATTATGCATAGGTGCGGTGGCATTTCATCTTCGAATTTTTTGCTACGGGCTGACGGCGTAAGGGAACCCACCACCCGTTTCATCCCAGGGTTTTAAGAGGAGATTATGTTAGATACCAGAAACCCTATGTCGTCCAATGGAAGACAGTATCACTATCTTGTATACGTTATACCTAGACCAGAAACTAGCAACAGCGTCAAAAGTCGGCGAAACGTCCTTGAATTAAAAATGTAAATATTATTTAGCTAAGATCCACGGAAAAAATAAAAATGATGTGTCTTACATAGTTTGCAGAGCACTCCCGCCCTCCCTCAATTGCGTACACTATCCTAGTCACCACTAGTCTCAACTTTGCTACACTAGGAAAGGCAGACCACCATCAACAATAGGACAAGTTTTTCGCTTCTTACCGAGGCATCGTCAGGAGAAATAGACTCGGCGATGGTTTACCGCTAAAACTCTTATGCCCCATTTACATTCAGCCCTGTTGGGCAGGGAAGTGAGCAGGGCAGTGAGCAGGGCAGTATGTAAACAGGCTACTCGCGCTGACACTGCCGCTGCCGCTGCCACTGCCCGACGATCTCTCAAACGTCGGTTTTTCGTGCGGAAGTCAAAGGACGGGCAGCGCGAGCGGCAGTGAGTGTTCACATTCAGCTCCATCGCTCACTTCGCGCCAAGCGCCTGGATGAACGGACGTGCGTGCCGTCTTGTTATTAAATAAGTACGACTACCAAAATGCCTGTCGAGTGGAATAATGAAAATACAATAAAGTTTTTTGTACTGCTGGAATCAGAAAAAACTTCTACGATCTTCTACGAATACGAATTTTCTTTTTGAGATAACATAGTACCTATGTACATAATTAATTATAAATTCGTCAAATTTATTATTTTAATATAAAATTTAGTTTAAGGAATTAATGAACATTGACATTTTATTTCTAAAAACGATTAGTAACTCATATTGATTATTTATTTATTAAAATGTAAAATAAGTTAAATGGAATTATAATTAAAAATCTCACTAATATTTGCATAATAGCCTGAGATTTTTAAATTATAATTTTATTGTAATTAAAATTATGAATTAATTTATACTGTAGTGTAATTATTAAAATAATAATAGCTAAACTAATCTCATATAACATTTAATATTATTTATGTAACAATAATGTAATAATTTAATTAATAATTTATGAACAATTTATTGTATAAGAATTCAAATAGAGTGTGTTTTGTGTTGTGTTTGTGTTTTTTAATTCAAAAAGAATGTTTGTACCTAACTTTTAAGCAATGCAATAATTTTAATATAACATTGGGTTTGTGTAATTAGCTGTATTTCATATCATTTTTGCACGCCAATTATGGCAAAACATGTCAGTTCCACGTCATTTATGATCTTATGTACCATGTTTTTAAGCAAATAAATTTTCTATCTATCAAATATAAATCTATCTTCTTTTGAACTTGATATCTTTTTAAATTATTAACATAATTTTGTATTGCAAGAAGACACAGCACGGACGCTGTAATTATTTCGACGTCTGCCGTAGTCGAAAGCCGAAAGTGATGTGAGTGGTAGGCCAGAGTGCTTGAATACACACTTCCCGCGATCTGGCTACGGCAGTATTTAGAGAAGTATTGCCGGCAGCGCGAGGAGCAGTGGCAGGGGCTGAATGTAAATGAGGCTTTATAGTAGGAAAACACCAGTATATACCATACACCAATACATACCAACAATATATACCAGTTATTGGCCATTAGGCCAATAATTCGATATGATTTAGCATTGAGGGTGTATATGAGTCAGCACCCACTGGCAAGGTCAGGTAGTGTAACACCTAACGCCGGCACGATATGATATATGTAAAATTACAGCATGCTCTACAAGTGTTTTGTCATAATTGAAAATTGGCAGCTAGTTTGTAGTACAATAAAACGTGGGAAAGTGGTCAGACCGCATTGTTGTGGAACACAGCGTGTCATTGCGTCACGTAAGTTGTCGCCATAGTGATGTCGGTGCATGAGTTTTGTAATGGTTGAAAATTCATTTACTGCTTATTTAATAAATATAATTAAAGAAAATAAATAGTCAAACCACACATTAATGGAACAGAGGTAGTCGGCAGTCGCTTCAAGTACGAATATCGAGCGCGTGCGGATGTTCGAAGCGTGTAGGGATATATCAATTTCCTTTTTTAATAAATAACAAATTTTAATAGAAAAAACTATTTAAATGGAAATTTATCAAATTACACAATAAAAGTTACGATTTTTTTTTAAAGAAATAAGCATCGCTGTCACTTTCTTCATCGAATTTGTTTCTTCAATGTCGTCTTGTTACTCAGACTCAGCACCTACTCTGAGTAACAAGATATATATAAAAAAAATTTCATCATTGTAAACATAGATATATATATATATATATATATATATATATATAATGATTTCTTATATTTACGAGAATACTGCACATGGAATAAAACTAATTTTACGGATTTTATCGCATTTAATATTACTATATAACTTTTTAATTCCAGACGTTTCGGACACTTTCCGGCGCCCATAGTCCCCCATGACTATGGGCGCCGGAAAGTCCGAGGTGTTTGACGTTCAGACCTCATAGTTAACAAAGGCCCCCTTCAACTTTTAAATATTAATTTTTGGTCCGATCTGCACAGTACAAGCTTACCAGTATCTTGAAGTCTCGCAGTAGTAGGTATATAGGGATGAGAGCAAAATGGACAGTATTTGTGTGTATTTAATCTCGGAGAAAGAAGAAACTGAACTAACTAACTATTACTGTGATATCTGAGTAAATATTTAATAGGAATTGATTGCTAACTTATTCTACTAGGGGCAGAGTTAAATTTATTTATTTATTTAATCGGAAATCCCTCGATAAACAAAAAACAGAGTAGGTAGGAAACAATTACGCGATAGGAAACCATTTATGGGTTTTCACAAATAGTGGCACTATATAAATAATTGCATGCGGTGAGTTACCGACAGCTAATAGGACACTGTCGCACCAACCGTAAGCTTAGCTAGGTAACATCGTGCATTAAATAAATAAACATTACAGATTAACAAAAGCAAAAAATTTAAAAAAGAAATAAAAAGATCATCAGCTGGAGCCGAAAAAAGGCTTACTCAGAACTCGCCTCGCCGAAATGGTACTTGTGTTGAATAGGTCTAAGTTAAACAATTGGGATAGAGTATTAAAATTCTTGCTCGCACGGTACATATAACTATTCTGCCTACAATTAGTTTTTGCTGCGGGTAGTGATAATAATATAAAAATAATAATTAATAATAAAATAATAATCGACCGCGACTTCCCCGCATACCCCTTAGCAAGCGAAATCAGGCTGTCGTGCGGGCTCTTAACCCAATGCTGGTAACCTATTTGGAAGCCAGCCGGGACCTTTGCGAGACGGACTCAATTCTTTTTGGCGCCACACTGGCAGTATGCCGTATTATTGGCGCCAAACTTCCCATGGCTGAACGTGCTACTCGACAAAGTAGCGCCATCCCAGCCTGGAAAAAGAGAATTGAGGACCGTATCGCAAAGGCAAGGGCCTTTATCGGCAGACTGACAAGCTTCCGGTCGGGTAATAATAGACCGAGAGTTGTGCGCACCTTTAGAATGGCGTTTGCTGGGACAAATATTAGTTTGTCCCAGCCGGATATCACGCAGAAACTAACGGAGCGCATAGATGACCTGAAGCAAAAAATCGCTGCTTGGGGTAAGCGGATTCGAAGATTTAGCGCGAGGTCAAGGCGGTTCAACCAGAATCGTCTCTTCCAGAGTGATCAGAAGAGGCTCTATAAATCATTGGAGCAACTAGAGTTATGTGGAGCGGGCCCAGGACCGGATCAGGCTGACACTGTCGCATTTTGGCGTGGCCTGTGGTCAGAGCCCATAAACCACAACGAGGGCCCTTGGATGGAAGTTGTGGCGAGCCAGAGTGCGAGTGTTACGCCTATAGACCCCATCACCATAACGCCAGAAGACGTGGCTGAGGCGATTCGTAGGGCCCCGAACTGGAAAAGTCCGGGGCTCGACAGGCTGCATCATTACTGGCTGAAGGGGTTCGTAGTGTGTCACGCTGTGCTCGCCCGACAGTTCCAACAGGTTCTCAACCAGAAGTCGCTCCCGAGCCTCTTCACTACTGGGATCACTCATTTGGTTCCTAAAGATCAGGATACCACAGATCCGAGCAAATACCGTCCCATCACGTGTTTACCCACTGTATATAAGACACTGACATCCATTATGAGCGCAAGAATCACTCGTCACCTGGAGCTAAATCAGGTGATGTCACGCGCTCAAAATGGATGTCGGGGCGGTGGTCGTGGAACCAAGGAACCACTCCTCATTGACGCGGTCATTGGCAAAGTGGTGAAACGCAACCGTCAGAACTTCTCCGCCGCCTGGATAGACTACAAAAAGGCATTCGACTCGGTGCCCCATACATGGCTAAAGAGGGTCCCCGAGCTGTACAAGATTGACTGTAGAGTTAGAGACTTTCTCGAGCAGTGTATGGGGCAGTAGAGTACGATCCTCTGTTATCTGGGCGAGCGGATGATGGCTGAGGAGAACCACATAAGGATAAGAAGAGGTATCTTCCAGGGCGATTGTCTGAGTCCAATCTGGTTCTGCCTCTCTCTGAACCCTCTCAGTACCTTACTGGAGGGCTGAGGGGACTGGATTTCAGCTACGGAAAGGAGGGACAAAAGTAACCCACCTTTTCTATATGGATGACCTCAAGTTATTCGCCTCCAGCCGCTCCCATCTTATGGAATTGCTAAACATCACTTGTGAATTTAGCAATTCTATTGGAATGGAGCTGGGGACGGATTAGTGTGTGGTCCTCCATGTTTAAAGGGGAAGGGTTGCTAACTCTGAGGACTTATCTATGCCCGTCAACTTAAGGACCCTTTCCGAGACTGAAACATACCGATACCTGGGTATGTCACAGAACATCGGTATCGATGAGGGTGAGGCTGGTGTGAAACAGTCAGTTTGCGACGTGTTTTATGCACGCTTGACCAAAGTGCTTAATAGCCTTTTGTCCGGTGTGAATAAGAAACACGCATATAACGGTTGGGTCATGCCAGTCCTCATGTATACCTTTGGCATACTCAGGTGGACTCAGACTGAACTTAACGCCCTGGATGGAAAAGTCCGCACTACCATGACGTCCCATAGGATGCATCATCCGAGATCGTCGATAATGAGGGTGTACTTGCCGCGAAAGCATGGTGGGCGTGGTTTTCTGGGCGCGCTCACCATGAATAATCGCGAAGTGTGCAGCTTCCGTCATTACTTCCTGGCGAGATCGGATGATCCATTCTATAATGACGTCATTTCTAGTGATAAAGGGCTTACCCCTCTATCCTTAGCCAACGAGCAATGGCAGGACCCAGCAGTGCTTAGCATTTCCGACCGGGAGGCCGTATGGAAGGAGGAGCTCCACGGGAGGTTCTACAGGGCTTTTCATGAGCCCTTCGTAGATACAGTCGCCTCCCTCAACTGGCTACGTTTCGGTAACCTCTTCGGGGACACCGAGGGTTTTGTCTGTGCAATACAGGATCAGGTTATTAAGACCAACAACTATCGGAGATACATCCTAAAGGATGGCACCGTCGACGTCTGTCGAGCTTGTCGCCATCCCGGTGAGTCGCTTAGGCACGTCATCTCCCGTTGTTCGGCACTTGAGAAGGTTTGTCAACTCCTCGTCTGGACACATGTACGTCTTGACATCACGTCTTCTTCATTCCGCGTGTTTACATACGATATATGTAGAACCGTTTCGCTATCTTGCCTAGATATAACTCGGGGCGCGGTTCCCTGTATCAACCATCCCAATAACGTTCTAGCAGCAATGGGCTGTTTTCGACGTCCTATTCGTAAGTCTCGTAACACAATTAAGTGCCAATTATCAGAACCTATAAGCACTTACGGCTTTGAATTATTATAGCAAACTCCACTTGGTAAGCTACGTAAATGTTTCAATCGTAGACACTCCTTACCGACGGATTGCGAACCTACATTTAAATTACTAATCATACGATCGTTAACTACCTGTCTACTATCTTTATGACGCGACTGTTAGCCTCTCGTTTGCTATCCGATAAACCTCGTATATTCAGTGGCCTCGTCCGCCCTTCCATACCTAATTCACAAGCTAACTTTTCATCAATTAGCGAGACCGTGGACCCTTCGTCGAGGAACGCGTAGGTTTCGATCTCCCTACCTTGCGGTCCACGCACTACTATAGGACACACTTTCAATAACACTGTTTTACTGTTTGCTGTAGATGCGACGAGCACTGTGTCGTCTGAGGCGGCAGATTCTTCCGGGCCTTGGGTCTTCTTCGCGTGAAGCAACGCGGGACGAGGGGCGATGCAGCCATAGACGCCGCATGTCTTATATTTACACTTGAAACACACTCTCTCTTCCTTCACCCATTTCCACCGGATATCACTGTTCATCTGCGCCAACTTCTTGCACTTCACCACCACAAAACAGACACTATCACTTTCACTGTCACAGTTTTCACGTGCGGCGAACGTTTTTAAATCGCGGGGCCTATCTTCTGCGCGGCTTTTTTCGATGGCGACGTTTCTTTTCTTACGGGCTTCCCTAACCGGCGTGTCGGACGTGTAAGCGTGACTTAATGCTCGGTCAGCTTCCCTCATCATGAACCTGGACAGCCAAGTTCAAAAAGCATCACACATTACACTACATTACGCGCAGTACTTGTCAATCTATAACGGTACGTGTACACCAAAACCGATTTTGTCGGCCAATGGCGGACAGAACTACCCGGACGAGTAATTCGGACGTGTATGTGCTTACACTGCAACAGTGTACCTCTTGTGCCGACATTGGACGTTGCCGGTATTCTTTTCTATTTTTCTATTTTTCAATATCCATAGTCGTTTAGGTAGATAACACTGACTGAAACGACAAAATAAAGACAAAATGATTAAATTACTATAAATACACTCAATTTGCACTGTAGACGGGAGCAGTTGGGCGAGAAATCCCAACAAGTTTGGATTCCACGGTTGATCGGCCGTTTTCGTGCGTTATCGGACGATGACGGCCGCGTTTGTGTACGCGCTCTCTTTGTTTTACAAGTGATTCGATCGTCCGAGTTCGCCGTCATCGCCCGAGCAAACTTCGGCCGATGACGGATTAGGTGTATGCGAAGCGTAAGCGTCTAGATGACGAGTGACACGACACGATAGTTATGGTCGCACCTGCCAGAGAAGGATAGAGACCGCGTGCCAGAGAAACTAGATCCTTCATGTATGATGGCTGACGTAAGATTTTTGTTGACATCAAGTAGGCAGAATATGTTTTGTTTTAAAAATCCAAATTATGGGAAATTAAACAATTATACAATTTTCCACTTATTTTTATTTTAAAATGGCCACAGCTGTAAAAAATATATAAACGAAAATGTTGTATCTAGCAACTAACATCTCCATTCTCCTTAATAACTATAGCGCGATTTTTATATGAAAGTTATTAAATGCCAAAAGGTTTGTTGGATTCGGCGGTCTGAAGGAAACCTATTTCTATCAAAGAATTGTACTTTTTATCGTTTTCTATTATTAATTTGCGATTGTTTTGTACTTTTTGACTAAAGTAGAAAAATATTTTAAAAGTATTACCTTGAAAAGTATTACCTTAATTATTTTGTTCAATCAACCTTATTGTAAATCAATATTACTTGTTATGACAAAATACAAAAAATACATTATAACATTGATAATTTAAGTAAAATGTAGTAGATAAGCAGGCTATACGCGTTCGTTTCGAGTTCATTTAAATGGTGGTAATGTCTGACTTTTTCTGGCACCAGGGCGACGTCATTTAAAACTGAGCCGTATTGACAGATTTCGTAAATGGGTCAGTTAATTTATTTTTAAAACGTTACCCCCACACTAGGAATTTCTCCAGTATGGTGGAGGCAGTTTACAAACATAAATTGCACAAGGACAAACATCCAGACCCGGAACAATTCCTTGAAGGCCATTATACTTGCTCCGTGCGGGATTCGAACCCGCGGCCTTCAGCGCTATAACTCATTGTTAAGCTACTGCGCGAAGGAGCCGTCCAAAAATTAGTTCGAAAAATGTAAAGGTTAATATTTGTTTCTGTACTATTAGTTATTTTTTTATATTAATTTGATTAAAAATAAATAAACAAACTACAGATGTTCATAAAAGTAGAAAAAAATTAAAGAAAAGTGTTAAAAATGTGAGATATAATACTCTAGAAACTGATAAACTTTTATTTAAACATAACTTCCCAATTAAATGACTTTGTGTAACAAAATACTTCACCTCGGTGAGCGAAAAATAAGCCCTCATTAGTCAACCGAGGTGTTATCCAAGATGGCATTCTACGATCGTTATCGCTATAGAAAATTATAAAAATGAATAAAATCAACACAAAGTCACGTGACTCACGTTCAGATATGTCATACCCCATTCATTCATTTTTATATTTTTCAATAGCGTTAAAGATTGTAGGAACTCATTTTAGCTAGCCCCGCAGTCCTCATTGTTCCACGCTAGACTACGCGCAGCAACATAATATACTTATCTCTATTTTGCTCGCGATAGTTACGAGTTACGACATGCCGTCCTAATTTCACGTGTCATCTAGTTACATATTAGTGCGACATCACAAAATTTAATCATTTATGTGTGCATAAGAGTGTAGTTTGTGAAAACTGAATTTTGTAGCCAAATTTTAAACTTAGAAATTTCAAACATCATTCAGGGTTATTTTTCAGAGTAAATAGAGAGTATACGTTCAAATATATAAATAATGATATATCGTAATTTCAGTTTTTGAAAATACGACTAAATAAGGCTTCTACTGTGTTATTTGATATAAGGGCATTTTTTTATTTTGTTGTCGATATGGATTTTCCCGTGTCCCAAAAGTACATACAACATTTTTATAAGATTTAAATATTTTTTTGTGGAAACTATATTTTGATCTTAAATTAGATATTATAGGCACCCAAAATATGTTTCAATATGCTATCATATTTGTTTTTTCTCAAAACAACAGGGCTTTATATGTGAGCAAATAGCTGTTTTAACCGTGTCCTCCTAGAAATCGAACATATTGAAGTTCAATTTTTAAGATTATTTTTCACTATCGGGTATGCCTATTTATAGTTTAAAACCTGTAAAATATAGTTCTTAGTCAAGTTTTTATGCTTAAATTACCACAAAGAAAACACACGTATAGTAAAAATTCAATTAAATACGTCGACATAAAATGCACCGCAATGGAAAGTCCTATTGAGTTACGTACTTTTTTTCCATATTTCATCAAAAATTTCGATGCAACATTTTATTTTTATGAACTTACAACACTTAAGAAGACGTGGCATGATGCCATTGTGAATGTATAAATGGCGTCAGTGTGCATGACAGCGCCCGAGAGAAGAGGACGTGTCAGGCGTTACATTTTGTAATCCATTGAATTACGGTATTTTCTGTGGTAAGTGCAATGTTTTATGCAGTGTTTAGATATTATTTAGTTATGCAATCTGTGAATTTCAAATATGTTAACTATTAAGTTAAATTTATTTAAAAAATCGAAAATGTTTAGCATATTACTTAGTTACGGCAAAATCGTTACGTTCCGTTGAGAAATTTTGTAACTCAACGGATCAAAATGTAACTCAATGCAAGGCTAAAGTTACGTTCATATTGTTATTTTTCCAGTATCCTTATAATATTGGCAATATTATATCGATTTTAATAATATTAAAACCGGCCAAGAGCGTTTCGGGCCACGCTCAGTGTAGGGTTCCGTAGTTTCCCGTCCGTCACAATAAGTGTTCCCACTTATGAGTTTAAAGGTGGGTATCCATTATGTTCGCGCTCCTGCAACTGCTCCCGGTAGTGGGTACGTGCGCGAACATGGAGCGTGCAACATTGCACGCTCCGCGGCAGGCGATGCCAAGGAGAGAACAACCTAACTATTCGATAATACCAGACCCAATGTAATAAGTACCTACAGCGCCATCTCTCGGGGAATTGGGTTACTAATTAATACATAGACGTGCCAGAAGTTTTCGGTGGTAATTTTGGATTGCGAGAACCGATTTTAATAATTCTTTTTTTGTTTGAAAAAAGATACGTTCAGGATAATAAAATATGTAAACGATGTTAAAAAAATGCCTGTTTAAACGATTATACTACAAACTTAGTCCAGAAATTATTTTGTACAACTTTTTGTCTTTTTTGTACAAAAACTGTTTCCATCCAAGTTCAAAATGATTTTCCTAGAAAGTCCTTATAAAGTTCTACCTTTCAGATTTTTTTCATATTTTCTAAACCTATGGTTCAAAAGTTAGAGGGGGGGGACACATTGTTTTTTACTTTTGGAGCGATTATTTCTGAAATTATTGACATTATCAAAAAATGATGTTAGTAAACCCCTATTCATTTTTAAATACCTTTCCAACAATGTATCACACGTAAGGGTTGAAATTAAAAAAAAAATCACTTCCCACATTACATATAGGGGGGCTACCCTAATAAAACATTTTTTTCCAATTTTTATTTTACCACTTTGTCGGCGTGATTGATACACATATTGGTACCAAATTTCAGCTTTCTAGTGCTAACGGTCACGGAGATTAAGCGAGGACGGACAGACGGACAGACAGACATGGCGAAACTATAAGGGTTCCTATTTGACTACGGAACCCTAACAAATATTCATATATTAATACTTATAATATTATTATAGTGTACGAATATAGTGATAATATTAACTAGTGCAAGTAATTTAAGTAATATGTATTTTTTTATTATTTGCAAAACATTTTTTCTCGGTTTTGCCTTTATCCACACGGCCATTAGATTTCATTTTAGTCCAAATTTTATTTTGCTTTTGACTATTTTGTACTGTTTGAAATTAATGATTATAATACATTGTTGTAGGGATAAAATGGCTATGACTGCAGCAGAACGAATGAAAAAATATAGGGAAAGGTTAAAACAGAATCCGGAAAAGTATAATAATGTTAAAAAGAAGCATACAGAATATGTCAAATCTAAAACTAAAAAAATTAACGAACTAACGGAGAAAGATAAAGAAAAACAACGAAAGATATGGCGAAATCAGAAACGCAAGCAGACAATTAAAAAAAAGGAACTTCAAATAATAGAAAAGGAAAACATAGACAATACCACACCAAAGAAGAAATGTCAAAATAAATTATTCAGAAAATATAAGGCGGCTCTGAAAAAAATAGAAACTTTAATGAGAACTGTAAGTACATACAAGAAACGCTTATATCGTCAAAAACAAGACACAGATAGAAAAGTTAAGGAACTTGAAGAAAAAATATTAAAGTTACAAGCAAGAGAGGAGATATTAGAAGCAACATTAAAAAAAATCCTACATGGGATGCAAAACCATAAAAGAAAAACGTAATATCAAGAAAATTGTTCTTGACAACATTGTTCAACATTCCATTAACAAAACTTTTGTTTCCAAATTATTAGGCCTAAGAGGTCTGGCAAGAATTAAACTCCAAAGCGGAATGCAGACTAAAATCAGAAAAGTAATAGAAACATTTTATATAAGAGACGACGTGAGTAGGATGACAGCAGGGAAAAAGCAATGCCGTACAATGAATAAAGAAAAGAAACAGATTCGATATCTGACCGACACGGTCTCTAACTTATATAAAATGTATCGCGAAGAAGGTGGAAAATATAGTCTCGCGACATTTTTCAAATATAGACCCTTTTTTTGTTTTATCCCCAACGGTTGAAAATAGAGAAACGTGTTTGTGCATTAAACACAACAATACTGATATGTTGTTTTATGCACTTAAAAAAATATCAAATCCTAAATAATTTTAATACTGTAAATGATGTTATAAAAAAACAGTGTTGTAGCATACAGTCGAAAGATTGCATGTATGGAGAATGCAAAGAGTGCAAAGACAATAAAATACATTATGATTCATTGGAAGAAAATCTAGAAGACAGAGTAAAGTGGCATCAGTGGGGTATAAGCGATCATAAATATATAAAAATAGAAAACAAGATCTCTAAAGAATTTACAACAAAAAGAACAGTTAAACTACAAAAAAGAAGGCAGCCGCGGCGATTTGGTATCAGCTTTTGAAAGAAATATGAAATTATTTAAAATTCATCACTTCAATTGGATTTACCAACAAAAACAATACCAAGAGTGTGTTAACAACCTCAAGCCTCATGAAGCGTTAATAATATGTGACTTTTCAGAAAATTATGGTTGCAAAATGGGGAAAGAAATCCAAGCTCAACATTTTGGTGCTTCTAAGAGACAAATAACGTTACATACCGGAATGATTTATTGTACTGAGAAATCACAGTCGTTTTGTACGATATCAGACAACAATGCCCATGAACCTGCAGCCATTTGGGCGCATCTTTTGCCTGTGATCCGTGAGATCAAGAAAATAAACCCCCCTGACAAAAGTACTGCACTTCTTTTCTGATGGCCCTTCCTCCCAATATCGTCAAAGAAACAATTTTTTCCTGCTCAATTTATTCACAGAAAAGTTGAAGCTTGATTATACCACCTGGTCGTATTCTGAAGCAGGTCATGGGAAAGGAGTGGCGGATGGCATAGGAGGTTCGGTTAAGAGAGCTTTAGATCGTCAAGTTGCATTTGGCAGGGATGTTGAGAATGGCTTACAAGCATACGAGCATCTTTCAAAATGTATGAAAGTCGTAAAAATTATATATATACCCAACAGAGATATTGATAATATTAAAAAGATTATACCCGAAAATCTCAGCACAATAAAAGGCACTATGAAAATACATCAAATTTTGTCATGTACACCAAACTGCATTAAATATAGAACTCTGTCCTGTTTTTGTGGCATTAAAAGGGGTTGTTGTAATTGTTTCGTTCCGAAAACACATGTTTTTAACAACAGAATATTACAAAAGATTACCAAAAGATGCGATTCTCCTACTGAGATTGTTAACTTTTCTCCTGATCATCAAACGGACATACAAAACTCTTCAAACTTTGATTCATCTGCTACATCAACCAAAAAAATCTCCAATGAAAGTCGCAAAAGTAGCTGAGCCTGATCATGTTGTGATCACGGTTACAGCTGATATCCATGAAAACTATCAAAACAATCTGGAATATTTACCGATACCTAAGAACTCTGATGAAATCGTTAATTCAAACAAAGAAAATATGGATTTCAACCGGATACAGATTGAGGACCAAGAACCCCTTTCCTTAAATGATATTAGCCTGGACTTGGATATAAATTTGAATAATGGTGCTGAGGAAAATGTCATGGATGAACCTGTTCCTAAAAAACAAAAAATTAACATTTTAGATATTAAGAATATATCAACCGAAAATGTATTCACCGCGAGCAAAACCGAAAAATGTAAGTCCTTGAAAACAATAATTAAACGCACTTTACCATGTAATCAGTGTAAAAAACATTATCTTTTTAATGCTTGCCTAAACAAGTGTACCCGGTGTGGTTTCTATTACTGTATAAAATGCTCTGGCAATTTAAATCTTAGTTGTGATTATATCTGTGAATTTTGTTATAAATAATTGATTTCAATAATTTATAATCAGTTATTAGTTGATTTTGTTGATTATAGAAATAGCTGTTAGTAACTTAGTAAAGACTGATTTATAGTAATATCTAAATAGGATAAGTAGACACCAAGAATACCTTTATAAGATGTTGCATTGTTTCTCATTTATGTTTATTATATTTACCAAAATAATAGTATTAATTGAATAATGTGGACACGGCTTTACGTTTTAGTTACGTTCCATTGAGAGATTGTCCCCTTATTTTATTTTATTGATTTTGAATATTTTTTTAGATTTTCTGCTATGCAAGTGTTTTGTTTATATTTTGTCGTTTTATGAAAATGTTTAATTAATTATAGAAGGATTTTAACTGTCATATGATCGTAGTTACCAATTTTAGAAGAATAAAAAGTATGCGGAAAAGTCAGCAATGTAACTCACAGGACTTACTGTTCCAAATACTCGGTTACTTTAGTTATGTTTTATGTTTATTTGACATTATTTCATTAATGTTTCTCATTATTTTAATCATGAAATAAAAAAAAATAATGTACATTGAGTTTTATTATATTTTTTACAAACCAACATTTTGTTTCTCAGTGGATAACATTTTGCTAACTTCTTTAAGTAAAAGGTAATTATATTCTTATTTCTGTACTATTTATGTTTTATTATTATAAATAATGGTAATTCACAGAATGAGGAACTAAATTAATTAATTTTAAAAGAAAAAGCATCAACTTTATTTTTTACTCAACTTTAAAAAAAATGAGACAACAAAATAAAAAAATGCCCATAACACAGTAGAAGCCTTATTACTTAGTAATATCAGTTAAAATATGCAATGCGTAATATAATGCAATAAATAATGCAGTACAACGTTCTTTGACTTTAAAAGATAAAAAGGGCAGAATGTTTTAGATTTTTTTTTAATTTAATTTTTCTTCACAATTTGCCTTTATTAGTTACTCTGAACCTGCTCTGCAAATTTGGCCCGTTATTGCAAAATAACCCTGTATATGTGTTGCACTATTAGTATTTTAAATTAATTTTTTTGGTATTTTCGAACACTCGCTCCTGATTGAATTGAGATCTCCAGTTAGAGAAACCATGGTCCAGTCGTGCTTTCTCAATAATTGGAATATACGATAAAATAAAATAGACAATATACAACATCGTGTCAGTTTTCTGATCTAACAGAATATAACACTAGCAAACTTACTTCTCACTTCCTTATAAAACTACTCAATTTTTTTATAGAATAGAAAGTTAATAATTTTCATATAAAAATCGCGTAATGCCGTTTACCGCCATTGGAACCAATGCACACATTCAATTACCTCCTCACATAACACAATGTAAATAATTTTACAAATTAAAATACGTATTGAGGTGTTAAAAAACCCAAAAAAAATCTTTAACTTTTAATTGCAATGCACTGGGTAAGTTATATTTTAATAATAGCAGGTAATTTGTGATTATTTTCGTCTAATAATATTCCTTATTGAACACCACATGAGAGCTAATTTAATGTGTGCATAAGCATATTTATTTCTTATGTAACGATCTTTACAATAACTCACAGCTTTGGTCTGTTTAGAGCGTACAAATTAAAAAATATAAACTTTTTAATTTCTCTCGTATTTTAAATATATCTATGCTTTTCTTTCTAATCACAATTTTCACAAATCGCAAAACTAAAACTGTAAAATTTATTAAAATAAACAAAAAAAAAAACTTTTCAGTGACTCGAATACAAATTATAAAATAAAAACATGATTGTGCACGCTCCCGCATAATTCAAATGTCTACCATCCCGCATCCTTTTAATTATCTTAAATCTATGGTAAATAAAATGTTCATATTCTAGAAATAAATCTTTAAAAAAAAAACTCTAGCGATCCATCTACAATATGTGCGTACTACGATCTTTAAAATATTGTACTCAAATATCATATTCACGTTATCTTTTACAAAATAACTAGACAAAATGCAAGAGAATTCGGAAAATATAACGAGCACCAAAAATTAAGATAAAAAACATTAACGACAAAGTCTTTTTTTTTAATCTACCAAAATACAAGACTTTGACGCAGTTTTTATTTACATTAATAAAAAAACCAAAACGTCAAAACTTTGGCAAGACCAACTTTTCAAGTTAACAAAAATAACACAATTGTGACGCAATGGAACCGTATAAAACATGACCCTTAAATGCTAAGCTTTACTCGTCAATGTTAAAATTGCCACGTAAATTCGATAAAATATCACTTCCCCAATTGTTGAACATTTTTACCGCAAATTCACCAACCATATCCCCTTTTTAAGATATTCTAACACAGCTTTCAAATGCGTAACGATTATGAAATCTGCAGAAACCATGAACAGACATTTTTCTACTAATCTAAGTCTGTTTCTCTTTCATTTGCAGTCTTCGATCAATATAACAAATACAACTAGTTAACGGGCCTCATGCAAAGCCAAAAACTGTCCGCGTAGACGCATTTGGCCTTTACACGTGTTCGAAATTCTATATAAATGTTTTTATTTCGCTTATAACAAACTTGACCTATTTAACGCTGTCGTAATACATAGATAAAATATTTCGTACTATAGATTAATGTATGGCATGGGCGATGTTAAATAGATAGATCTATGACGTTTTAGATGTATTTTAAACACAGATTATCAAGTCTAAGCGATAAGTCCAGTTGTAAGCGTTGTGCCAAACACATTGTCTAGCCGTAAGCTATGTCATATACACCTTATGAGGCAATATATGGGGACGCCTATCTTCAGCAGTGGGCTTTGATAGGCTGTAATGATGACGATATTCTAATCTACCTTATCTTACAGTGGTTAAAGTACAATTCACCTTATTACTTTAAATTTATGCTTTAGTTCATAGTATTGCTTCTGGAATCCACTGTGCGAATCGGTGAAGAATTGGCCGAACGTTGATTTAAAACTCAATATATTACGTTGTTCCTTGTTTTATAATATAAAATATAAGCAATTTTGCATTAATTTACCAAAGTAAGACATTACATAAAAGTAGCTGATTTGGGTTTTTTTTCAAACTTTTATAAGTACCTTATATGGGCTTTATGTCAACTGCACTGGCTATAAACATCTTTTAAACAAAAAAAAAGGATTTTGGAAATCTGTCTATATACGACGATATGACGGAGTTATGCCTATATACAAAAAAAAATCATCCGAATTGAGAAACTCCTCCTTTTTTGAAATCGGTTAAAAATAAGATTCCACGACGTATAGACGTATATGTAGTAGCTATATACTGGGCTACCGTGTATGATCTGATCCGTTATCCAGTTGTATGTTGTTGAACGAAGTTAGTATTGCTTTAAAAGTAATCCAAGTAATCCATAAATTATTTATGATATACCTGTAGTGAAAGCTGAACGTTTTGATTCGCGAATAAATTACTTTCTTTTTTCTTTTAATGAATCTGTGTCAAGAGTACTAATCTTATAGAATTTGCTTATTCAATTTATTAATTGAATTAAAATAAGAAAAATAACAAAAAACTTAATAAATTTAAACAAAATCGTAATCGCTTTGACGCTTTTGTTTTATAATGATGTACATACACATCAATAATATTAAAATAATCTTATTTTTTTTACACCATGTCACATTTGAAACATAATCTGTTAATATAAAGAAAATATATAGAAATTGCTTAATGGTAACTATGGTTTAAGATGGATAAATATATGATAACATAAAATTAAAAAAAAAAACAAACAAACAAATAGAAAGTTTACCACCTAACATAATTGTCTGGTTTACATCAATAGATAAACCTTATAAAAACCGGCGAGAAATAGAATCTTACAAAATAAACTGATATATATTACATGAAAAATAGCAAAAGCACAATCTTTTGTTCGTATAATCTATGCAACTTTTAAATCTAAAAAATGTTAACAAATATATTTGGCACCTTATATTTAAATTAATGCCATTAAATATGTACGGAATTTAAATTGAAATTATATCCAAAATAATCCTTCAACAGCTAAACTTTTTTATAAATATATTTTACAATAATAACTCAAAATATAATTTTCTGACTAAAAATGTGGTTTAAAACATTTTAAAACTAAACAATAACAAAATATTTCTAGATTCCGAAAGTTATTTTCTTACGTAAAACGTTGCACAGATTATAATACTCACTTGTTGTTTGACACAATCATAATTTTGGTTGATTTTTGAAAACATCTTTAACAAGCATCCGGGATACGTACTAAACGCGGATAAAATTTTCATATACATATTTGTACAATTTTATAATACAATAGAAAATATTGTGTTTAATATTAGACTTTCTTCAGTAGTAAGTAATACATTTAGATAATGAATAACGTCCCTCTAAAATACTTAAAATAAGAGTGAGTTAATATAATTAAAGAAAACAATCGACACTGAATCCCAATATATTAATCATGCATATAATTAAATCTCGCACACGCAATATAATTTAGAAAATAAATACAATAAAACAAAATGAAAGAGGGACTTTATACATTCCTAAGCTATATAACAAAAGTAAGACATAAGATAAAACATTCACCTTCGAGAGATTGCCGTCATTTAGAAAATTAATGAAAAAATTATACAGTTATATTATTTTGCAACTTTGGAATGTCTCTCATCTCACTGTAATATTCTTGTTATATCCTGGAAAACAATAGTTATGAATATAATTGAAATAGTAGTTACAAATATTTTTTTTAAAAATTAGTTAAGCAATGTATTACCTCCTCAGTTTCAATTGTGAAGAAATCTTAACATGCTCGCAAATGAAGAAAGCTTTGATATAATTTATAATTATTTTTTCTTCTTAATCAGAATGTAAAAATAAATGTAGTTAAAATTAGTTACATTGCGTATTCATTGATGCACTACCTCATATCTATGCAGTACTTGAGGACCAGTGTAAGGAGAGCTTTCACTATAAAAAAACGGTCTCTTCATGGTGTTTTGCCCTGTGGACAAATAGACAAAAATGTAATGTCTATTCACAATACAACAATTTAAAAATCTTGCAGGAACTGTGTCCACGACTAGTCGTCGCCCACTAGTCACAAGAGATCTGATTCTTTTCTTGCTCAAAGGCTAAGTAAAGCAATTCAATGAGGAAAAGTAGCCAACGTTCTTGGTACTATACCGTAGGGAGTAAACTACACTGCTGGGCACAGGCCTGCCCTCATTTCTGAGAGGGTTTTAGGTCAAGAAATCACCGAAAATCAGCGAACGGGTACGTGCTATAGTGACAGATAATGCACCGAATATGGGGCTTACTGTAACAGTAGTGGGAGTTCAACGTATCAGATGTATGGCGCACTCTTTACAATTAGTGCTGAAGGATGCGTTTTTTGAAGAGAAAATAAATGCCATGATTACAAAGGCGAGATCTATTATTGGCCACTTCAGTCATTCAACGTCAGGTCGCAAAATCCTAACAGAAATGCAAAAATCTCATAAAGTTCCTTGTCACGTTCTCATTCAGGATGTCGTTACTCGCTGGGATTCAACCCTTCATGCACTTAGAAGACTTTTAGAGCAACGAGTTGCAATTCAAGCTTCTTTGCCTCATGTGAAATGTAGAACTGAATTGTCTACAGAAGAATGGCTATTGATGGAACAAGTTGTTTCGACTTTGAATTATTTTGAAGAAGCTACAAAATCTATAAGCGAAGAATCTGCTTGCTTATCTGACGCTATACCTCTTATTAACAGTTTGCGAAAAGTTTTAAAACAGATCAAAAATAATCAAGAGACCGCGGACGACAGTTACAGCAGCCCAGAATATTATAATTTAGTAGAGATTTTGTTAGCTGGAATAAATGACAGATTTGATTATCTAGAAAGTGAGGAAACCTTTATTTTATCAACAACACTAGATCCGCGCTATAAATTGCGTACGTTCTTTCTACAATCCACAAGCATTGAGATGAAAAGAATACTTATCTCCTTAATTACAAACAGGGATACACATGTTCCTGTAGAGCGTGTAGAGTCACAAAAAAAGCAAGATGAGACTTTCTCAGGTATCTGGAGTGCTTGTGACAGTTTGATTAAAGAAGCAGAAGAGGAGGAACCTTTATCAAACATGTCTAGTCATCCTGAGCAAGAAGAGGTGGAATCTTATACGAGATGTCCAAATATTCCAATGAAACAAGATCCAAAGAACTATTGGAGCAATGAAGATAAATACCCAAAATTGAAAATGCTTGCACAAAAATATTTATCTTACCCAATGAGCTCAGTTGCCTCAGATCGTCTTTTTTTCAACTGCAGGCCTCATACAAAATGATTTGCGCAACAGATTATCTGCTAGTAATTTGAATTGTTTCCTAAACAAAAATCTTCCTAAAGTGAACTTTGATTATTAATATTGATTTACTTTTGATTTGATGCCTTGATAAATGTTACCCAAATAAATGTTGATATGATATTTTACCTTTTTTTTTTCATTATTTTTAATTTCCATTTTTGCCACACTTTACAGAATGGAGTGTCTATTTATTCCATGTAACATAAGTAAGTTTTATGCACATAAAGTACATCATTCTTTATTTACTGGGTGTATTTACTACTAAGCCATCGATATCGGTATCGGTATCGCCGATTATTTTTCTCGATAATCGGTATCGTATCGGCAAATTCATGTATCGTTACATCCCTAATTAATAACTTTTCTCGTGTCGCATGGTACGAGAACAAATTAATGTAGATATCGACTCCTTTGCGTGAAATTGTTTTAAACAAAATAATCAAACTAAAAATTATACTCAAAAGGTGTTTGTGTTATACTTACATAGCTGTGTGTGAGCTGCCAGCGCATTCTGTTTTGCTATGAGCAGCTCTGGTCCCGGTCTTGAAATCTGTTCGTAGTATCCAGAAACTCCTGATAATATAAAATGAAAGAAAAAATTATGTCTCAGTGCATTCCCCTCAAGTTTACGACGGTTATGGAGCTAATGATTGTTTGCCCCCCCCCCCCCCCCCATGCTGCTCCACTAAAGGCTGAATTCGATCACACATATTTAAAAGTGATAAGAGTTACGCCGCACCATGATTGGGTCGGCTTGACCAGGATAGAACCATGCTCTAGCAGAATACCAGCGTAAAATAGCAGCTTGATGCTGTGTTTCGTATGGTGAGTGTAGAGAACCGAAGACCATTTTTACTGGAAACAAGGTGTTCCATCTTCATCCTCGGGGGTAAAAGTGTTTTTGAATTTTGATTCTTAACCGAGGATAAATATAGATGTCTATGGGACACAGCATTTATTTACCATCAGGTGGACTATGTGCTCGTTTGTTAACCTTATTGTGTAAAAAGAACATATGAATTACTCTACTTTTGAATTAATTGAATTGCGCTGTTTTGTAAAATTTTTGGGAGTGCATGAATGCTTTATAGATTTTTATCCCGTTTAGTATAGAATTACCAAAATTAACACTTTAATTCACTTTACATCAATTAAACTTAAAACACTAATAATTAATCACACTGATTCACTTTATTTCGCTCCGAAGCTTCGCTTGTCTCGCCAAATTCAATACTTCCTCGATCGCATCTTGCAGCGTCTTTAAATGCACATTATTACCGAAACATCCAGAATTATTATTAAAAAGACGTCGAAAGTTCGAGTGTCCGGCTTCTAGAAGCTTAGTTCTTCGTTTCGATACTAGATGGCGCTGTCGGTTGAAAGATTAGTGATGTCATTTTCTGGAAAGCTCCCCCCGCTCTCGTCCCTGACACTACATGACGTCAAATTTCTCTCGCGCAACACTGCCTCCTCCTAAGACATGCTCGTCCCGAGTATTATCGGCCCCATAATAACGCGCCAAGCGATCTACATGGACGATCTTAGGAGTCCCTCTTGCGCCTTTCTGTATCCGGTAGGTTACATCGTTGATCCTGGTTACAATCCGGAACGGGCCGTCCCATTTAGCTTGAAGCTTAGGAGATTTCCCTTTGTTGCGGACTGGATTATGCAACCACACTAGTGAGCCTTCGTCGAACCCTTTATTGTTCATTTTGCGGTCATACCGGGTTTTCATCTTCTCAGACATTTGTTGGCCCGATTGTCTGACGTGCTCATAAATGTCATTCATTTTATTCCGCAAGTCATTTGCATAATCGGTTATACTGCGTGGGGCATCAGGTGGTATCCCGGTGATCAGGTCTGCAGGCAGCCGTAATTCTCTTCCAAAGTTTGCGAAAGCTGGTGTCACTGCTGTACTTTCGAGAACAGCGCTTCGATATGAAAACAAAAACGGTTCTATGTGCTTGTCCCAATCTCGTTGCTGATTGTCTACAACTTTTGCTAGGTACCTCCCCAATGTCTGATTAAATCGTTCTACCATTCCATCAGATTGCGGGTGATAAGAAGTCGTTCTTGTTTTGTGAGTACCCATAACTCGGGTAAGTTTCCTGGAATATTTGAGACTCAAAATTCCTTCCTTGATCGCTGTGAATCTCCAAACGTACTCCAAAACGACAGAAGACTTCAACTAGCTTATCCGCAACTGTTGAAGCTTCTTGATTTGGAATGACTTCTGGCCACTTAGTGAAGTAATCCATCACAACCATGAAATACTTGTTACCGCTTTCACTCTCCGGAAACGGCCCCGCCCCGTCAATGGCTATTCTCTCCCATGGTGCACCAACATTGTACAACTTCAATGCACCTCTACTACGAGTCTGAGGTCCCTTTACAGCCGCACAACTTGTACATTTGCGACACCAGTCCTCGACATCGTTTCGACAGTGGACGATGTAAAAACGTTCTCGGATCTTCAGTAGAGTTTTAACTCCCAGATGGCCACCTGAATAATCATTATGGTACAGCTGTAGAACATCCGGTACTTTAGCTTTAGGGACAACCATTTGCAAATCACAGCTGTCTCCCCGAACATTTTCCCATTTACGGCACAGAACTCCATCCTGAAGCAGCAAGCTGTGCGACTGGGCCCAATAGCTTTTAGTGGTCGAACACATCGCTGAGACGTCGCTCCACTTGGGCTTGGGAGCACTGGCCTTCATCCATTCCAGAATCGGCTTGATGTCCGGATCTTCCTGCTGTGCACGTTGTAAGCTGTCCTTCCACTCGTTGCTGAGGTGGTCTGCCCTGAGCATCCTCACGGATACCAATTCCTTACTCTCTTGCCTAGTACAATGTTTGCAATCTTCAGGACAAGGTCTTCTTGACAATGCATCTGCGTTGCCATGAGATTTCCCGCTGCGATGTTCGATCTCAAAGTCGTATTCCTGCAGTAGTTCAATCCACCTCGCGACTTGTCCTTCTGGATTTTTAAACTGCAATAGCCATTTTAGTGCAGCATGGTCAGTTCGTAAGTGAAATTTTCGCCCCAGAAGATATTTGCTAAAATGCTGCAACGACTTTACCACAGCTAGCAATTCGCGTATTGTGACACAATAGTTCCTTTCCGGTTTTGACGACTTGCTGAAGTACGCTATCAAGACCTCTTGGTCACCATTCCGTTGAGACAACACACCGCCAAGTCCTATATCACTTGCGTCTGTGTCAACTATAAATTCTTTGCTTGGATCAGGGTATCCCAACATAGGTGTTTTGCACAGACGGTCCTTGAGCTCCTGGAATGCGATATTGCAACTTTCATCCTAGCAGAAATGTCACTTCTCCTCAGTTAGCTTATGCAGAGGTTTGGCTATATCTGCAAAGTTCTTCACAAATCGCCGGTAATAGGAGCACAAACCCAAAAATGCTCTAACCTGCGTCTTGTCTTTTGGAACCGGCTTGACAGCTGCGATTTTCTCTGGATCCGTGCGGATACCTTCTTCCGACACTACATACCCCAAAAAGTTGACTTGCCGTTTGAATAGTGAACATTTCTTCGGACTCAACTTGAGGTTGGCACTCTGAATCTTCATGAGCACGCGTTCCAGGTTTTGAAGGTGTTCCTCAAACGTACGGCCCACGATGATGATGTCATCCAAGTAGACCAGACAGGCATCGCCAATTAGCCCGGTAAATACAAGTTCTATCAGCCTTTCAAACGTTGTTGGAGCATTGCACAACCCAAACGGCATTACTTTAAATTGCCACAGACCCTTTCCCGTCGAGAACGCAGTTTTCTCCTTGTCCTTAGGGTCAATTTCAACGTGCCAGTAGCCACTTTTTAGATACTCCTGTAAGCATGTCCAGCGTTTCATCAATTCTTGGCAAGGGATAGCTGTCCTTCTTCGTAACGTCGTTCAGACGGCGGTAGTCAACATCCTTCTTCTTTATCAGCACCACGGGTGAACACCATGGACTAGAGGAAGGTTCAATAACATCATCCTTCACCATTCCTTCAATCGTGGTTTCTACTTCCTTTTCACGTGCTACCGGCAATCTTCTTGGCCGCTGACGGATAGGCAATTCTTCTCCTGTGTTTATTTTGTGTTGAACTAAGCCAGTATTTCCTATGTCAGCATCGTTTGATGAGAATACATCGGCGTGCTTGAGTAACAACTTCTTTGCCTTAACCATTTCGTTCGGGAAGAGAACGCTGCGACAGTCTTCTACTCTCGTTTGTGCATCCTTGCTGGGGTCCCAGTCGATAGATATTGGCACCGACGTAGCCAATCCACTTCCTCACAAGTACCAACCAGTGTGCCTTTTTCTATAATCTGTTCCTGGTCACAAAGGTTCAGCACACGTACTCCTGAGATGTTAGTGGTCCAGACCAAGGTTCGAGCCACTTTCCATGGAAGGTCATTGTCTAACCTTTCCACGAGTACAAAACGATGAGGTTGTCCAGGATTCCGAGGAAGACTAACCGGCACAATCGTTTCCGATCTCGGCGGAAGAACAATCTTCTTAAGGCTGTACACGTTCCCTGGTAACGCCCCTTCCACAAAAAGTTCCTCTTGTCCACACTTCAAAACACCTTGCTTAACGTCAATCGCACAACAATTCTTCCTCATGAAGTCTAGGCTCAGGATGCAGTCGTCCATTATATCAGCCACGATGACATTATGCAGGTAGATCATGTTGCCTAGCTTCAACTCCATCTCTTTCTCTCCACGGACGGGTATACGCTGACCAGTGGCTGTTACCAAATTAATGCGTTCTCGGTTGTATGCGGAGTCCCCAAGGAACTGACTTATAAGTTGGGAACTAACAACCGTACGAGAGGCTCCAGTATCTATGGTCAGTTTACACGGCATTCCGTTGACCTCGCCCTTGATGATCAGACTGTTCCCATCATGGGTTTGTGAGATCGAGATCCTTGGGGCTCTTTTAACATCAGCCAGCAGCCGCCCCGCAGTTCTGGCTTTTACTCGTTTCCCTGCTGCTGCTGGGCGGGGCTGTTAACCGCACCACCCTCCTGATATCGTTCACCTTCCCTTTCTACCTCCCTGACGCGATGGGAGCGAAGATCCTGCCGCACGGCTTCCACCTCCAGTGCATGGGCCAAGGCATCCTTAAGCGTCTCGTGGTGCCCGAGCCTCACATCAGCTCTGACTTCAAGGTCGCGGATGCCGTCAATGAATGCCTGAACCAGGTTCCCTTCAATGAGCGCAGGTACTGCTGCAGGGCCCACTGCTGCAGGTTTTCGTTGCTGCGTTGCACGCGATCTTTAAGCTGCGCGCGAAAGACGTGTTCCAGGCGAGCGTCGCCATATCTCGCCTCCAACGCCTCAAGGAGCTGCTCGTAGGTCATTTTCTTACCGAGAGCTTCCAACACAGTTAAGGCTTGGTCGCGCAGGCCTAGGGTGAGTGCAGTCATGGCTTGGCTTTTATTCCAGCCGTTCGCCTCCAAGACGGCCTCGAAATGGATTTTGTAGGCCGACCAGGAAGAAGTCCCGTCGAACGACGGCACTTTGAATCCACGTAGCGAAGGTGATGTAGCTACTACGGGAGCTGTTGATCCATCCGCAAGTTTGAGGTCGTCCAGCGTTTTCTTCACGTCCGCCATTACGTTGTCAACCCAATTGTTTACTTGGTCGATTCGGGTTTCAGCTTCCGACAGGCGGTTGTCATGTTGAGCAACCTTATCCTTCACCTCCCGTATCTCTTTTTCGAAGGTAGCTGGAAGGTCCTTCATGAGGAGCATCTGCTCTTCCTTATCGCGTTGGAGTTGCTCTTCTAAACGACGGGCCTGTTCCTCCTGCCGGCGGGCCTGTTCCTCCTGTCCGCCCCGCAGCTGCTCTTCCAATCCAAATCCACTCCATATCCAAATGAAAAAAGTTCTGAGGTAACACACATAAAAAATATAGTAAAATTAACAACCTCTTCCTTTTTTGAAATCGATTGAAAAAGGACAGAATGGTTTGAGATTTCTTTTGATCAAATTTTCTTTACCATTTGCCTATTCTACTTATTCTGAACCGGCTCTGTAAATTTGACGTATATTTTAAAATAACCCTGTATAACTCGCAAAAGGGTAATATATACCAGAATATAAGTTATCCTTGCTCCTTGTATTGTAATAATCATATCTTTTATTTAACCGTTTAGTGGCAGTGTAAGAATATCCATTACCGCATATCGTCCCGTGGGTGTCGTAAGTGGCAACAAAAGGAAACAAGCCAGGAGATGGGGAGCAACGTCTTCCATATAACAACTAAAAAATTAAACTACGGTAACAAAAGGGCCTGCCAAGCGTGGCAAGTATGACAAAAATCCCTCCTATGAAGCTATCTATAAGGAAGACCTATGTTCCGCAGTGGACCTTTGATTGATTGTAATGGTATGGTGGTCCAACCATGATATTATGTTGCATCATGGCTCTACCACTTATAATATATAATAATTGTGAACAGAAGTGTTTTTAACAACTTACACTTAAACCCGAACCCATTGGTATTTTATGAATGTTATTTAATTTTTTATTGTTATATATTTCAGTTTTACATTTTAATTTAATAATAATAGTCTAATTATATTGTTGAAATGTGTAACATATTTTAAATTTGAATATCTGGTACTAATAAAAAACCTTTTTTCTAACCATTCTCTTACCTGTTGTAACATTTTGTCCATCCGTTTGATAGTACGGACTTCCTTGTGGCTGCATTACAGTATCACATCCTGTAAATAATGGACATTTTAATGTTAAAAGAATACCCATGTAACATCAGGGAGGAAGTAGTTCCTCTTCACAGGATCTCAAGCCCGTGTACGCAAAAACTGAGATTATATCGATATTGAAACCTTAGATGGACTAAATTTTATTAAGATTAAGTATGGTTCACGCATTCTACCTTGGCCGGTCTGCAGTTGGCTTTCCGAGACATTCGCGCATGTACAGACGCATGTCGATGGGGATGTGCCACTACATATTCGCTTGTAACACTGCTTAGGATAACAGTTAGTTTTGTCTATGTCGATTATAGAATAAATAGAATTTTTTTATTATAATGAAAATATCTTTATGTATATTATTAAAATAATAGTATAAATCTAATGAAGAATCACGATAAAGACTGAATATACTGAATTACTATTTTTACCATCTGAAAAAAAAATAGAGTGTAACAGGTGAACGGAGTAGAAGCCTAAGACAATAATATTTAACAAAAACTAAAAAGAAAAATTTTGAATTAAATAAATCAATAAATTAAAATCTATCGAAATTAAAATCATATCCATCCTACTTTACGAACGACAACAAAACAAAAAATTGCTCAAGGGCAAAGCCGCCGGCCTTCAACTCACTCACTTATTTCATTTACCTTTAGTTAGCCAAAGCGTGACGTCACGTCGCCGTCGTATTGTTTATGTTTCTGCGTGTGTATCGTAAACATGTACCCAATACTCTAATTTCGAGTGTCTAACATTGACGAGCCAATTCAATAATAGGTGGTTAGGTCGTAGTTAACCTGTGAACTGACCGGTGAGATCACCAGACCTGACACCACTAGACTTATATTTGTGGGCCGAACTAAAACGATTAGTGTACAAAGAAGCACAAAGTGTTAGTGATTTAAAGCAGCGTATAATAGACGTATTTCATGTGATAAAAAGTGATAAGACACGCTTGGAAGTTTAAAAAACAAATTTACAAAGCCGTGCTAGTTTGCTTTTAGAAGGAAACTGTAGACATTTAGAACAATTACTGCGATATCGCTAAAAAGGCAATTTTTATTTGTAAATAACAATAATGTAGTATAATTTTGGAAATATCAATCAGTGTAATTTGTAAATAAGTTGATTTCGATCTTATAATTACAAGATGTTTTATAAGATAAGCCAAGATTTTGTAGTATAAATTAGGCATAAAAATTGTTATTACAAACTGTTTTTCAATTCATTATAATGCAACATAAAATTTAACATGTAATTCTAATCAACTACAGCATATTACACGGTCCTAAGCCCGTAAAATAATGAAGGAAAGATCGAAACCACGAAAATAACACCATTTTCTGTTCCACCTTTTATTTTTTGCTATTTACAAACATGCGACGCGCAACGTCTTTATTAATGAAAGAGTGGCAATGTGAATATGCCATGAGCATTCATTAAATATTTTTCTTTCATCACCCAAGTATTTTACTATTAACCAGTATATACTGATCTTGCATTAGTAGGCAGTAACAAGTACTGGGAGGTCTACTTACACTGAACTTTTTAAGGTCATTGACATTATACGTGGAAAAAACCACCACCAACCAACGGCTTTACGTGTTTTCTGAAGCACGGGGAGAAACATCGTCAATTTCCTGACTCCGGGCAGCTACTGAGAATTTCTTGTCGGAAAAACTTAATAAATTGATTTTTTTGTCCCGGCTTTGGATTGGAACCCAGGACCTCATGATCAGCTGTCACACTACTACAACCACTAGACCAACGAAACAATCTAAATCAAAAATAACTACTACGAAAATTTTGGTAACGTAAGGCGCGCAGCAGCCGATTCTAAAAACGTTGGCTGCAACGATGTGTCGGCCGCTGAACTCGGGCGTCTGGCAACTAACGAAAGATGTGCATGCGTCTCGCTCGCTCTTACAACTGTCATTCACTAGCGATCGTAGCCTATTTTTAGTTTTACGCAAACGTATTGAATTGTTTTTATGTATTTTTTTGGATATTCGGAAATTTTGCCTATCTGCTCTAAAACACCATATTATTTTCCAAACTATAAAAATAGTTACCCAGTATAGTAAATAAGCTGGGATAATTAATTCTTTCAGCAAACCCAAATAATGTAAATTAAAATTTTTCACAAAAATCTTTCATTCATATCATCATAATCAGTTTTTTTTATTTAAAACGACATGTTGCATAATTTACACACCAATGAACCATAAAAAGTATAAATAAAATCGAATCATAATCGATAATAACGATAATCGATTATTTACGTAATTGCGCAATATGCGTATACTCATCTCGAGTTTTAGTTTATGCCATCATGTTTCTATAAACGACTGTACACAGGCAAGGAAGAAAATCAAAAGAAAACTAAAATACGAATTCCGTTTATCTACCCCGTCTGTGTGGTGGATAAATGAACACGCATTTCCGAGTATCCCACCCTAGGGTGGATAAGCGGAATAATCAGTTTTAAATTTGGAAGTTATATTGTTTAGTTAGGAATGATAATACAATAACTGAAGTTGTATGATAATAACTTAACTTTAACAGTGGTAGAGCCACACGGCAGCTTTGCTGTTGCACGTATGGGCCGGCTCAAACCGGGGTGGTACCACGACCTCACAGAATACCGGCGTGAAGTGGAAACTCTATTCACAACATAATTAAGAGACTCCCCGGAGGGTACCAGCACCCCTGGAGTCCCTCCTTTTTCCGTGGGGGAAATTCCGCTCAAGACTACAACTGCTCGGGGCAAACGGAGCAACAAGACCAAGGCGACCCCTGCCACGCTGTCCGTGAATTTCTGCAATATCAGGGGACTTCACTCTAACCTAAACGCCGTCCACTACCATCTCGAGACGGCGAGGCCGGTTCTGCTCTTTCTGACCGAGACGCAGGTGTCCTCTCCGGCTGATGTCTCGTATCTCTCCTACCTGGGGTACAAACTGGAACACTCCTTTGTGCCTCGGGCTGGAGTTTGCGTTTACGTCAGAGAGGACATCTGTTCTCGACGCCTCGGCAGACTTGAAGGTTCGGACCTGTCCATCCTTTGGCTACGCGTAGACAGCGACGACCATCCGCGCGTCTACGGGTGCCTCTATAGGTCCCATAGCGGTAATGCCGAAACAGACCGACTCTTCGACCACGTCCAAATGGCTACAGATTCGTTGCTACAGCAGATCCCCTCCGCAGAGATCGTGATCCTCGGCGACTTTAACGCCCATCACGCCGAATGGCTTGGTTCACGTTTAACCGATCACGCAGGGAGATCTGTTCATGATTTTGCCTTGGCATATGGTCTGTACACAACTGGTTACTTCGCCTACGCGGATTCCAGATGTGGAGGATCATGCACCTTCCCTGTTGGACCTTCTGCTGACCTCTCACCCGGACGGATATCAGATTTCCGTCGAAGCCCCTTTAGGCTCCTCGGACCATTGTCTTGTCCGGAGTGTGGTGCCACTCACGCTGAAACCGCAGTTGCATTCTGCAGGCTGCCGCCGTGTTTGGCACTATAGGTCAGCCGATTGGGATGGGATGCGGTCTTTCTTTGCATCCTACCCTTGGGGGCGGGTTTGCTTCTCGCCGGACGATCCCAACGTTGTTGCGGATTCTGTCGCTGATGTGGTACTTCAGGGTATGGAACTTTTTATTCCTTCCTCCGTGGTGCCCATTGGAGGCAAATCTGTCATGGTTTGGTCGCTCCTGTAAAATAGCATCATGCTATAAGCAGGAGTGCTACCGAGCCTGGGCTGACGCATCAGCGTTCCGGGATGTAAACACCAGCGCTATAAAAAAAGAAGTATAATTCCGCCCCAAGGTCCTTCAAAAGAGTCATTGCCAAGGCAAAGTCAGGCATAGACATAGGCAGAATTGGCGAGAAACTAGTTCGCCTTCCTTCTGGAACCCGTGCATTCTGGTCTCTCGCCAAGGCTGTCCAGGGGAATTTCCGGCAGCCATCTCTTCCTTCTCTGCACAGGGACGACGACTCACTGGCCATACCGCAAAGGAGAAAGCCGATCTTCTAGGCTCTTTCTTTGCGTCCAACTCGACTCTCGATGACTGTGACGATGATGACCATCCCGCGGTGTGAGTGCTCCATGCGGGAAATGCAGTTCACACAGCGCTCGGTTCGCAAAGCACTCCTTTCCCTGGACATCCACAAGTCGAGTAGGCCTGACGGAATCCCCCCAATTGTGCTGAGGACGTGTGCTCCAGAGTTGGTACCGGTTTTAACGCGTCTTTTCCGGTACCTACTCCTACTCCCTAGGCGTAGTCCCAAAATCATGAAAGACGGCTTTCGTCCACCCGATCCCAAAAAAGGGCGACCGCTCAGACCCGTCCAACTACCGGCCTATCGCCATCACCTTCTTGTTCTCCAAAACAATGGAGTCCATTGTAAACTGCCAGCTCATGAGGTACCTTGAGGATCACCAGCTGATTAATGACCGCCAATACGGTTTTCGCCGTGGTCGGTCAGCTGGTGATCTTCTGGTCTACCTAACTCACAGATGGGCGGAGGCAGTAGAGTCCAAAGGGGAGGCATTGGCCGTTAGTTTGGACATTGCGTAGGCCTTCGATCGGGTTTGGCACAAAGCGCTTCTTTCGAAGATCCCTTCCTATGGGCTTCCCGAGAAATTTTGCGATTGGATCACCAGCTTTCTTGCAGATCGAAGCATCAAGGTCATTATAGACGGTGCAAGCTCCGATTGCAAGCCTATTAATGCTGGTGTTCCACAAGGCTGCGTGCCATCGCCAACGCTGTTTCTTCTGCATATCAATGATATGTTGCAAACCCGTAACATTCATTGCTATGCAGATGACAGCACTGGTGATGCTCTTTACACCGGCCGAGCCAATATTTCTCGGGAAAACGTCTCCGAGTGCTGGGACAAACTTGTGTCTGAAGTCGAGTCCTTGCTGAACAGAGTCTCGGATTGGGGGCGACTAAATCTAGTCCAATTTAACCCCCAGAAGACACAAGTTTGCGCGTTAACCGCTAAAAAGAACCCCTTTGTCGTATCTCCTCAGTTTCAAGGCACTCCCCTTGTTGCCTCAGCCAGTATCGGAATCCTCGGCGTCGACATATCGAGTGACGTCCAGTTTCGTGGTCACTTGGAAGAGAAGGCCAAATTGGCCTCTAAAAAACTTGGCGTGTTCAGCAGAGCGAGACTGTACTTCATGCCGGCACACCGCCTGCAGCTTTACAAGGCGCAGGTTCGGCCGCACATGGAATACTGTTCCCATCTCTGGGTTGGGGCTCCCCAGTACCAGCTCCTTCCACTTGACCGCATCCAGCGCAGAGCGGCTCGAATCGTCGACGACCAAGTGCTTTCCGATCGGCTCGATTCACTGGCACTGCGAAGAGATGTTGCATTTCTTTGCATTTTATTTCGCATATACCATGGAGAGTGCTCTGAGGAATTGTTCGGATTAATCCCAGCCGCCAAATTTCGTGAACGCACTACGCGGCAAACGTCCCGACACCACCCACACCATCTGGATGCTTGGCGGTCCACCACAGTATGTTTCAAAAGGAGTTTTCTTCCGCGTACAACCTCTCTGTGGAATAGTTTACCACCGGCGATTTTTCCGGACCGATACGACCTGAGGACCTTCAAGAAAAGAGCTTACTCCTTTCTAAAGGGCCGGCAACGCACCTGCAATTCCCCTGGTGTTGCGGTTGATCATGGGCGGCGGTAGTCACTTAACATCAGGTGAGCCGCATGCTCGTTTGCCCCCTCTTCTATAAAAAAAAACTTACAAATGAATTTGTTGGTACGATACGAGCGCCACCTACTGGTACTTTAATTGTACTGGTCCTATGACCTTTGCGCAAGTGCCAGCAATAAGTTGAGGAAGTTTTATCGCAATCTTTTTACTGGAAACGAGGCATTCCATCTTAATCCTCACGGGTGACAGCGCATCTGCATTTTGATTCGTAGTCGAGGATAAATGTAGATGTCTATAGACCACAACAACCACTTGCCATCAGGAGGACTGTGCACTCATTTGTCACCCTATCCTATAAAAAAAAATCTGATGAACGGTTTGGCAGTGCATAAAATACGAACAAACAAATGTAACTTTTTATATATAAGATTTATTTTCATACGAAGACCGCCAATGTGCACTGAGGAAACACAGCGGACTTTTTCCTGATCTAAACTTCTTAAAAAACTAATGTAAGTGTTACATAGCAGTGTAATGTATAAGCGATAAGTTGTAACTATCTTGCCATAACAGAGCTGGTTAGCACTGTCATGAGAACACAAGTATTATTCCGTAGGTGTTAATATGATAATATACTGGTTATTCGACTCTACGGCATATTGGATACAATACATTTTTCATGTCCATATTAAGCTTTTTATATGTGGCAAGCTATGGAGAGGGCTATGCTCGGAATTTCTTTGCCTCATAAACTTTTAAATGAGGGTATCCACAATAGAACCAGAGTAACCAACACAGGCCAACAGTTCAGTGAGCTGAAAGGAAGAAATTTTCGAGTGGAAGCCTCGTACCGGTAAGCGAAGTGTATGTCTCTCTCTTCACTATATGGAATGACAACCTGGTAAGAGACACAGAAAGTCTCCAGATTGCTCAGATCCATGATTTGTGGCATTCCTTAGGGGAGGACTATCTTCAGCAGTAAAATTGTGAAGGGCCATGATGATGATGATATATAGAAGAGAGATACTGCAGCTATATTATGGCTACAGTGCGAATGGGTCGGCTCGACCGGAGAAGGACCATGATCGCCTGTAGTACCAGCGTGAAATAGCAGCATAATGCTACTGTGCTTTCCATTATAGTTCTCAGGGATAGTAATGCATCTGCATCTTGATTCTTAATTGGTAGATGTAAATATCTACCCTTAATTAAGAATCAAGATGATGTATGTATCAAGATGTATGCTTACTTATATCCCTTATTTCAATTAAAAAATTATTATGCAGAAAATTGGAGATATTTTCAAAAAAAATTTTTAGCATTCTCAAGTTGTGTCATCGTCGAGCCAGAAACAATGAATTTAAGTATGAAACATTTTACAATATTTTTTTTAAATTTCTTCTTAAAATCCCAATTCAATCCTTAACCATACAAAGCACACAACATTACGATTTATGACATTATATAAGATATGCCCTAGTCTGGACATTGTATCCATTGCCATACTTAGGTAAAGGTAATGCCATAAGAATAATATACTAAGATAAAGCTGTTACAATATTGTGCTGTATCTAGTAGCCAATTTACCTTACAATTCATACAACCATTATTCTAGATGTAATTTTTTTTTATAATTTTAAGCCATGTTGGCCACAGGGGCGACGCACTTCCTATAAAATTTCCAACCCATCCAGATCCAAGACGGTGAAAACTTAACAGCTAACTTAGGTTTTACTACTTACCACTATTTACATCTGGCTCCTCTTTGACCTGATGTTGTATGTGCTCCAGAAGCCTTTGCTGCTCCAGACGCCTCTGACCCTCATTGTATAATGAATTTGGATCTGATGAAAAATTCATGGAAACAAAAAGACATATCATTACATATACATTTCATAAAAATGAATTTTAAATATGCACATTACTCATATTATTCTTTAATATGTTTACCGCCGTAGTCTGTTACAGTTTAATGCTAGATAAAAGTTGTCTGTCAGTTTTATTATATACTATTGTAGGCGCCTAGCTGCCGCAAAAAATATAATTGTGGGAATATAGTTTTAAATTTTAAATTTAGAACAGTTAGGTATATTGTTAAGGAATGAAATTTGTCGGTACGATACGCACGCCACCTACTGTAAGTTAATTTTTTTATATAAAACCGTTACTTCAACATTACCGAAGTGACACAACATTACTATTTAAAAATGTATTTATTACTTTTCGAAGTATTCTCCGCGAAATTTGACACATTTTTCCATACGATGGAACCAATCACTGAAGCAACCATTCCATTCGGAAGTTGGGGTCTCCAAAATGGCCGTTTTGTAGGCGTTCACAGCTTCTTCAGGTGATGAAAATCTCTGTCCACGCAATTTATTCTTTATTTTAGGGAAAGTATAGAAATCATTAGGGGTTAGGTCGGGGCTCTACGGCGGATGGTCTAATAATTCTATGTTTTCTTGCTCTAAAAACTCTTTTGTTCTGTGTGCGGTGTGAGAACTCGCATTATCGTGATGGAGGATGATGCGGCGGTTGCAGTTCTCTTTACGGATTTCAGAAACGACCTGTGGCAAACAAATGCTAACACGCCATTCCGCATTAACCGTTCTTTGTCCCTCAAGAGGAATAGTCGTAACATGGCCGGTTTTGGAGACAAACGTGGCCACCATTTTTTTTTGCAACACTCCGTGAACGAACAATTTTTGTTGGCTTTAACTCATTTTCGAACACCCAAATTCGTGACTGGTTTTTTGTTTCGGGTTCGTACGCGTATATCCAGGATTCGTCACCTGATACGATGTTGTATACATCATTTGAGGATCCTGCGTGGAATCTTTCGAGAGTTCTGACGCACCAAGTAACGCGAGCCGCTTTTTGCTCTTCACAGAGCCAATGCGGTATTCATTGGGAAAACAACTTTTTTACACCAAATTGTTCATGCAAGATTATTTATTTGTATTTGACTCATGCCAATGCCTGAACAGACATATCTCCAAATACATGCGGCGGGACTTATGCAACTTCAATACAGCTCGTATTGAAAAGTGATTGAGCGGAACCAAGGCTCTAAAGTCTTTGCCAGAGATCTGTCTGCCAAAAAGAGCCAACTGTCGAAGCTGAAGACCGATTGTGGCAGCATCGTTTTCGGGACACCCGAGATTATAAATGAGATTGAGAGGTTCCATGGGCAACTGTATACGTCATCGTTAGAGCCACACGCAAGTGTTACCATTGGAATCTTTCGAGAGTTCTGACGCACCAAGACACCTAACTGTTCATGCAAGATTATTTGTATTTGACTCATGCCAATGTCTAAGTTGTCTGAATTTCGCGGTATGTCACATGTCGATCTTCCTCAATCAGCTTACGCAAAGCATCAACGTTTTCTTGGGTGACTGCAGTTTTTGGACGACCTTGACGGGGATCATCACTGAGCTTGACACGTCCACGTTGAAATTCAGCAAATCAGCGATAAATTGTGGTTTTGGATGGGGCTTCATCACCAAATGCAGAAATCATCCGGGCAACACACTGTTTTTGTGTTAAAGCACTTCGAAAGTCATAATAAATCATCGCTCTTGAATTTTCTCGAGTCAATTCCATTTTCTCAACGACTACACAAGTTTGACAAAACCTTGTGACAAGACTGAGAATCTTTTTTTAAATAAATAAGTGGTATTCGATTTTTAAAACCAAGGAGTTTTCAATTAAAAAGATTTTAATATGACAGGAACAGTGGAAATATTCCATTCCCGATACTTTTAGTGCAGCCCTCGTATGGCGTCGTAAAGTACTGAATTAATAATTTGTATTAAATACTTCATATTAATATATAAAAATTAATGTTTGTTTGTTCGTATTTTGTGCGCTGCTATACTAGCCACTAATACTAAGCCCTAATGATTTCTATTCTTTCCCTAAAATAAAGAATAAATTGCGTGGACAGAGATTTTCATCACCTGAAGAAGCTGTGGACGCCTAAAAAACGGCCATTTTGGAGACCCCAACTTCCCAATGGAATAGTTGCTTCAATGATTGGTTCCATCGTATGGAAAAATGTGTCAAATTTCGCGGAGAATACTTCGAATAAATACATTTTTAAATAGTAATGTTGTGTCACTTCCTTGATTCCCAAAATTTTCAATGCCGCCCTCGTAAACTAAAACAACTTTTAGCTGTCATGAGTTTTTATCTGCTATATTTCGTTTAAAAATCATTTTATAAGTGATTTTTCATGCGTTTTTTACACTGTTGAAATGGTCGGAAGACAATGAAGATTTTTTTGTTTAAATATAGAAACAGGTATAAATGAAATACCCGGTGGATCTTATGGTCCCCATTAGATATTGAAATAACCATCTCAAACATTGCTAGACTACGTATTATGGAGGTGGGTATTATGGAGCAACATATAAATGCCTGCCTGATACTATGCTCATCAATGTCAACCATGTATTTCAAATTTCAAATTCATTTCAAAGTCACTTACAGCATATTCTTCCAAGATGTGCTGTAATTGAGAGTTAACACTCAAGTCAATTTTAGACGCTTTTATTACGACGCTTATCTTTAGAAATTGCATACAGAACTGGTTAAAGACATCATAGTTTGTTAACATTTAATTTACATACTTTATATTAAATTTAGCTTAAAACAGAAAACGAGCCATATTTTGAGATACTACTAAAAGTTGTCATCTACAATTGTTGATGTAGCTAAGTGATGGTGTACACTAATTCAGTTATAAAAGCTACCTTTACAGCCTACCATTTAAAGTCCATAAATCAAACGTCAAAGATTTGATTTGAAAAATGGTAAAAACAATAATTTTCATCATAAGATTTAAGTAGTTGAGCCATGCTACACTTTTATTATGGCTGTAATACAAATGAGCCGGCTCGATTGGGGTAGGACCACGCTTTTACGGAATAACAGCGTTTAACAGTAGGATAATACTGTTTTGTATGATGAGTGTAGAGAACCAGAGACCCTTTATACTAATAACAAGGCATTCCATCATAGCCCTCAGGGATAGCCACACATCTGCATTTTGATTCTTAAGGGGAAATATAATGTCAAATGGCTTAGCAAGATCCTTCGTTATGCCGAAAATATTGCAGCATTAATTTTGAAATAAATATATGGTAAAGTTGAGAATTAATGTTAATGATTATGTTAGACGAAAACACGATTTCGTAAAATTTTCTCGATAGAAAAAAAATCCAAAGTTACCTCCAAAATAAACAATAAACCGCTGTTATTCATAAAATACTTTAAATAAGATCATGAAACTTTGTATACTAACTGAACTAACTATAAAGCAGTGCTTATGTTATTTACTTTTTTTAAAATACCATTATTTTCACTGTAAAAAGAAATTACCTAAACTATCGGCGTCTTGAGCTTGATTCCTGTCGCCCCGTTAGTATCGCTTAGGCTTTTGAAGGGAGAAGTTGTGTCGCTTACGATCAGAATATACATTACGCAACAGTACGACGTAAAATTAAAATGGGAAATAACCGTGATAAAAATAAGAAGCGGCTGGCTTGGCGTTAAGAAACAGGCATAAATATGATAAACCTAATGAAATAAGTGTCTAACGACCTTTCTACTTACAGTATTAGTGATTACAAACATATCGGTACATAGCATACGACGCGCGGGGAAGTGGGGGCGAAATTAGAATTTGAGCTGACTTACTCTATCCTCTTAATGGAGGAAAGGAGGATAGATGTATATGTCCATGAGCCATAATATGTTCTTACCATCAGATGGACTGTGTGCTTACTTGTCACGCTTATTCCATTAAAATAAGTTGACAATTTCTCGTGTTTGTCTTCAATGCCAATGCCGGCCAATGGCTATTGGTTAGATATTTTAAAAAGCGAATATAATTACCTAACTGATCCTTGGTGCGTTCATATAAAAACTTATCATCCTCTGTTCCAAAATCTATCTCTTGCTTTATATGGCTTTCGTTAAAGAAGTTCTGATTTTCTGTGATCCTGTGTGGTTCCTGTAATAACTGCAGATTGTGTTGTTGATTTTTAAGTATCTCTGCACTGTCCGGATATCCATTCGTGTATTCAATGTAGTTTTCGTTACGGTTCTCATATTCCTGCTGCTTGTCACTATATGCATACATCTCTGGCATTTTCTGATAACCATTCTCTATTATCGGTTTCTGGTATATGACATCTACAGCCGGTTTTTCGTAACCGTTTAATGATTTTCGCTCAAGCGCGTACTTCTCCGCTTCTTTGTTGTACTCCTCATTTGTCTGCGGAATGTAATCGTCATTGGTTTTTGTGTAGTCCTTTGGCAACTCGTACTTCTTAAGCTGTTCGTAGCCCTCGGCTTCCTTCTGAAATGTTATGGGAACACTGTATGTTTCGAGCTGATCCGAACTGAATGATTTTTCTGAAGACTCGCTGTAACTGTTGTTGGGTTTGGTTTCCTCCTCTTCGGACTGGATTGGATCGGTTTGCATGAACGCGTCCTGCTTCTTCGGTCTCAAAGATGGCACATGGTTGTTTTGACTCTGGCTCTCATTATTCTGCTGTAAGGAGATGTTGTTTGCGATCGCGTTTAACGCTTGAAGACGGTATACCAGCTGTAATAAACATAAGTTGTATCTGTCAGTCAGATTGTAATAAAACTAATGAACTATGACGTGAAGTGACGGATTAAAAAAAAATTTTTTAGTTGAAAGCATAAAATATATTGTTCATGTAAACTCATCACTTTGGTTGTATGATCTGTTGGCAAACCTTATGTTCTCATTTCATCACTATCAGAAGCTGGTTAACAGTTCACAACTGAACTTGTCCTTATTGATATGATCTCAGTTTGAAAGTTTAAAAATAATAAGGTAAATTAGGACTTAGATTTGGATTATGTTTTAATGATACAACAACAATATAAAAATAGCTCATTGTTCTCATTCTAATAGAAGTTATCATATCCTTATGATCATTCGTTAGTTTTATTACAATCTGACCAACATGTGCTGTGTGACGGAAAATATCGCATCGTGAGGAAACCTGCCTGGCTGAGAAAGATAAAAACAAAATTTTTAGACAACATGTAAAATTCACCAACACGCATTGGGGCGGCGCAGCAGATACTTCGTAGCGCTAAAACCTTCTCAGAAATGAAAGAAAGCGTGTGGCCAGCAGTAGGACATATATAGTCAGTTAATAGATTTATTACTTTGCGAATATTCGTTATTTACAATAACATAGATACAAAAAACTACAGAATTCCTTAAATGAACCAGTGTTCATCATTGAAAATTTATTATTTCCAGAAAAGTAATAATCATTATTTTTATTTTATCTATAGGGAAATTTTATGACAAGACCTGTGGGTAATTTACAAATTATATCCATCCGTCCATTGTACATGTCGCAGTGCCTCTGTGGGTAGTCGGAGTTATTGTTAACAATACGTGCACCGCACACTTGCGCATTGCACCTGCAGTGGCGCTCGGGTAGCTACTTGTCTCGATTGTATAAAACGGACGGAGCGGCCGCCGTTAAAGCAGTCATGGCTCTGGCGTGGCAAGATGCACTTGTTGTATCCCGCTACTAACTCATCCTCGACTACTCGGATAATTAATTCGTGGAAACAACTATTATTATCAGCTATTTAATTAGTCTCAGTACAATTTACAGTTGATTACCTGTGATCCGTGTATTTTGTAATTGTAAATTAAATCTATTTAACTACCTTCCTACATACACTATAATAATTTAAAATATTTTAACTAGCTGTAGCATTTTATCTGTTCTGTGATACAGCCATTACATGTAGAAGACCTTAATTACATTAATACATCAACATGACTACATATTATTTGTATACAACTGAATGTAAAATAAATAAGAAAACTTACACTGCTATCTGAACTTTCATTTGTGTGAAGTATTCTCTCTGGCGTGCTGTTTATAGGCATTGTGGTCTGAGTGTTCAAGCACCATTTTTCTGTTTTTTCGCTAAAACAAATAAATGTTATAACAACTGTAGTTCTACATTAATAATATGTGTTATCGTCTTCCGGTCCTGGGTTCACGAGCTCGTCGCATAATTAAGTTTATTTTAATTTCCCAGAGAATTACAAAACCTTTATTAGATTAATAACCTAATTTTTATAATACTTAATAAATGATGATTTAATAATAACTGACACCTTCCGCTTGTCAGCTTCCGGCGAACCTAAGATTAATGTTACTAAATGTGTATAAACAATTTTATTATTGTTTAGTCGTTGCTATATTGATTGACAGTTATTTTATAATTTATGATGCAATATTTATAGTAATAAGAATATTAATGTTCATTATTAGGTTATTATTAAAATTGTATAAAAGGCCGCTGTGGCGATAGATTAGTCAGAAAACTTGTTTTGTAACCGCCAGTAAGTAAAGGTGTGAGGGGTAACTGTCAGTTTGTGAAAGTGATTACAAAGTATATATACACCAAGTAAAAATATCGTTTATCTGCGGTTAGTCGTACCTAGTCTATCCGCCATCCACATTTCAGAAGTGGGATGATGTCAGGCCCATATATTCAAGGTATTGGCGCAAAGAAACGAAGGTATAGAAAAAAATTGTCTTCTGAATACAACGAAAACCAAGATTTTTTTTCTTCAACTAGTGATGAGGATTCCGATCGCGAATACCGCCGACAGAAAAGGAGACATGTAACTCAAACCGATGCTGAAGTTATTCCAACGTTTCAGCCAGATGAAAAAACAAGTAACGTCAAGGGTTGGTTGCATAAAATCGACCAGTTGGGTGATGTGTACAATTGGAATAATAAGGATCACCAGTTCATCATGCAACTTCGCCTTCGGGGTTCTGCCAGAGATTGGTATGACGATTTAGAAGATTATAATCTTACATGGAGTGAGTGGAAAAATGCGCTAGAGACCGCGTTTCCACGGTCTACAGACTATGTTGATCTTTTAGAAGCTATGCTTGCAAGGAAGAAATCTAATAGTGAAACTATGACAAAATACTATCACGATAAAATATCTTTGCTCAAAAAATGCAATATTGGGGGCGAGGAAGCGATATCATGTGTGATCAGATGTTTACCGGTCGAAATAAGAGCTAATGCAAAAGCTTTTCAGTGCGACTCACCGCAGCAGCTCTATTATAGATACTTATCATCCCTTGAAAATTAGAAGCAATTAGAAGCTGCCGACAGTCTCCAACGACCCAGTACGACGTGGAAGAGAGGTGGCAATATTACATCGGCTACGCCAGAAAATTATGTACTGCCTAAGAAATGTTACGCGTGCAGAAGACAAGGGCATGAAGTAAAGGACTGCAAAGTTCCACGGTGCGAGGGGTGTCACCGGTCTGGCCACACCATCGCCAACTGTTGGTATGCCACCAGTAATCCTCGACAACAGCCACATAAGGTCAGTAATATTTTGTTCACAACATATAATATTTATCTGGATCTGTATAAAAAAGTGGTAAGGATTAATGGGCAAAGACTTATTGCATACATAGACACAGGAAGTAAATTGAATATTCTTACTGCGACACAAGCCGTGCCCTCTTCAATAAAGATGAAAGGATTTGGAGGTGCATATTCGAAATCATTGGGGACCTCGCGGATCGATGTGAAGATAGATGATATTATTATAAGTGGTTCTGTTGAGTTAACGAATAATGATTTAGCTGATATAGACTTAATTATCGGTCAAACAATGATAAATCAGAGAAATTTGTGCTTAGTTATTAATGAAAACTCTGTCAGTTTTGTAAAAAACCTTGAACATGAAAGTGAGTTATGTGATATGCAGTTAAGTGAAATAGATTTCATTACAAAATTCCCAATATACTTAAAGGACTGTACTGTAATACCGCAACGATGTGTGGCATATGTAAAAGTTTTCATTGATATAAATGATAATGACTGTACTTTACTAACTAAACCTGTATATTATGAGTTAGGGAGTATGTCTTATATTATTGTAGGCGGTCTTATAAGGTCGAGGAATTGCCATTTAAAAGTAATAAACATAGGAGACGATGTTATTGAGTGGGAGTCGAATAGGCTCATAGCGCGTGCTGAACTTGTTAATGACTTAGAGCATAATGAGCAGAGGGAAGTAATGACGATTGACCATCCTTCCCACAATGAGTTATTATTATCGGACTTAGATGTAGGTGATTTGGACACAGAAGAATCCAATAAATTACTAGAATTATTAAATAAATTTGGATACTTGTTCGCCAAAAATACAAGAGATTCAGGTTGTACCGACGTGTTAGAAATGCGTATTCATACTACAACCAGCAACGTTTTCTGCAAGCCCTATCGACTTTCTCACAAAGAGAATGAAATAGTTAATGAAAAGGTTCAAGACCTGATTTCTGCAGGCATTGTAAGGGATTCCATGTCTGAATACGCAAGCCCAGTGGTCCTTGTAAAAAAAAGGGGGTGACTATAGACTATGCATAGATTATAGAGCACTGAACTCGCGTACTGTTAAGGATCGATACCCACTACCTCATATAGAAGATCAGGTTACTCGCTTATCTGGAAAATCATTATTTACCACACTAGATCTTGCACAGGGCTATTACCAAGTCAGAATCTCTGATGATTCTATTCACAAAACCGCATTTGTTACACCTACTGGTCAGTATGAACTCCTGAAAATGCCTTTTGGCCTGGCTAGTGCTCCAGCAGTTTTTTCACGTCTAATAAAAATTGTTTTAGGGAGGTAAGGTAATGGCGTAGCAACATATCTTGATGACGTCATGCTGCCAACGGTATCGGTTGATGATGGGTTGAAGTTGCTAGAAAGTGTCTTACAACTATTGTCGGAAGCTAATTTAAAACTGAATTTAAGTAAATGTTCATTTTTAAAGAAAAGCGCTAACTATTTAGGGCATGAGATTACTGCGGGCACAATACGACCGGGACAGGATAAGATTCGTTGTGTAGCTGAATATAAGAAACCACGAAATGTACACGAGATCCGACAATTTATCGGTTTGACTTCATACTTTAGGAAATTCATTCGTGGGTTTGCAGAAATAGCTAGACCCCTCACACAACTTACTAAAAAGAACATAGAATGGAATTGGGGCCCTGACCAAGAAAGTGCTTTTCAAACTCTTAAAGAACGTCTTGTGGAAAGACCGGTTTTAGGGATATATGACAGACATGCACGTACCGAGCTCCATACAGATGCGAGTAAGCTAGGGTTAGGTGGTATCCTTTTGCAATATCAAATCGATACTAGCCTGAAACCAATTGCCTATTTTAGTAGGGTCACGTCTAAGGAAGAACAATTTTACCATAGCTATGAGCTAGAGACATTAGCCGTTGTAGAATCCTTAAAAAGATTTCGAATCTACCTCGTAGGAATTCCCGTAACTATAGTGACAGACTGTGCGGCATTACGAACCACTTTAGTTAAAAAAGACCTTATTCCCCGCATAGCCCGCTGGTGGCTTTCCATCCAAGATTATGACTTGCAGATTGAGTACCGTTCTGGTGGCCGAATGAGGCACGTAGATGCTTTGAGTAGAAATCCGCCATCGAGTACAATTTTACTGATAGAAGACTCTGATTGGCTAGTGACATTACAATTACAGGACGAAAATATTCAGATGATTTTGACTCAATTACGAAATGGTACAGACAATAGAGATATTACTAGTAATTATAAATTAAAGGATGATCTTCTTTATAGGAAAACTCTAAATGGGGAACGTTTCGTTATACCCAAATTAGCTAAATGGGGCCTAATGCAGAAGTTTCATGATCAAATAGGACATCCAGGCTTTGATAAAACCGAAAAGATTATAAAAGCACAGTTTTGGTTTACAGGCATGACAAGGTTTATTCGAAAATATATCAAATCATGTCTTCGCTGTGCCTATGGAAAGGGAGAATACGGTAAATTGCAGGGAGAACTGCACCCGATCGAAAAGGCAGCAGTCCCCATGCATACATTACATGTCGACCATTTGGGGCCATTTGTTAAGACTCGGAAGGGAAACTGTTATATACTTATTATTATTGACTCATTTACAAAATTTGTATTTGCAAAATCTGTTAAAAACTGCGGTTCAATAGAAACTATAAAACATTTAAAAGATATAATAAATCAATTCGGCAATCCTAATAGAATAATTACAGACGGAGGTAAAGCGTTTACTAGCAGATATTTCAAGGAGTTTGCTAAAGAAATGCAATTTAGACATGTTCTAAACGCCATTGCTAGCCCTAGATCAAATGGCCAAGTTGAGCGTGTCAATAGAAAGTTGATTAACGGCTTAAATACTATGACCAATAGTGAATGCACTTGGGACGACCATGTCTCCGATATAATTTGGGGCATTAATAACACACCTCATGCCACAACTGGTTTCCCACCTTTCAAATTATTATTTGGTCATTCTAATTCGCGTTTACCAGCCTACCCCTGTAGGGGAACCTGCAGACTTTGAAAGTCAAGCTCGAGCTTTAGAAGAGAGACGCGGCAAGGCTAAATTGGGTATTGATAAAAATATGACTCTTATGAAAGACCGATTCGACCGAACTCATAAGAAATGCGTTAAATATTCCGTAGGACAATTGGTACTATGGAAAGGAGGGATAACTAGGAAGAATGCTAATATTACTAGGAAGCTTAACGGTTTGTATACTGGACCGTATAAAGTATGCAAAGCTGACCACTCATTAGACCGATACACGATAAGCAGCATCAAGGGTATGAAGGGATACAGAAACTTTTCGGCAGTTGTACGCGGCGAAGTCCTCCGGCCTTATAATTCGTCTATCCCCGATGACAGTAGCGGTAGTGATCATGAAGTTGACAGGGATGATCTTATAGATCTTTTAGAAAGCTAATTGAATCTCGGGCTATATTAATATCAATATTTAAGTGGATGTACAATAAAAGTATGCAATTAAATTATTAATATCCTGTGATAAATCATATTATAATGAGTTAATAAAT